CCTTCAAGTTTTTTTGATTTTTACGATAGAAAGAAGCATCGAAAATTTTCAGGGAACACATATTCCTGATCGCCGTAAAATTCTCTATCGAATGGTGTCTGAAACATCGAAAAAAAATTTTTTTGCTAGAATTTTGCTTTGCGTGCACCTTACAAGAAGAAATAAATAATTACAAGCCAATCTGACGTGAAATCAGCTGTTCAAAGGTTAAAGAAGAACAAGTGACGTCTTTAAAAGCTTTTAAAGCGCTTGCCTTACTTATCCTTCGAAGAAGTTATTAAAGAAAAAATCTATGTACAAGTTCTCTAAGACTGAAGCGGCGAAGTATTTCATTCACGAACGCCACTGCCAAGCTTCGTTAAGTTTTCCATTAATATACATTGTAGAGTTTTCAAGACGCATCGAATGATGTATTGTACTATGCCAAATATTGGATAGTTACGAAGAAATTTCGATTCTACAGTCATACTGCTCGTGCTGAGGGGTTGTCTGTTTCCAAGTAGATTCTGTCGTATATGTACAACTGAAAGCGCGCAGAAGATTCGAAATCATCGAATATGATGACTTTGAACAAATTGGAGCGGTAAAGGTCGGTGGGCCAATTTGAAGGCTTATGCTGACTGGTCCTTTGTCAGAAGTGGAAAGAAACGCTTTGATAATATTGATAATCTTCTTTTCTTATTTTGAACAAACATTAAACAAAATTATTTCGGAAACTAAGGTTTTGCAAAAGGGAAGCTGCTTCGTATCTCTTTAACACTAGGAAAATTTGGTCGGTATATCGAGTGCTACTTTTAAAATGTCTGCAATCAGAAAACCAATGTCGATTATAGACTTGCAAGATTTGTAGTGTATCTATAGAGTGTCAGGTGGTAGGGTATGACAATTGTCATTAAGACTGTCTCTCTGTGTTTCGAGGCAAAGTTCGTGTCCTTCGACGAGTTCATAGGAAAAATTTAGAGATTGTTCGGTTTTATTGAGTACTCAACCTACTAAAACCATAAGATGAAATAAACTCCTCTCGGTATACTGAGCGGTTTCAATAAACATTGCGATAAACCGACGATGCTCAATATTAAAACTCGGCATGAGTTTTGTTAGAATCAACCGACAATTTCTGCGTAATATCGTTGTTTATTTTTCTAGATACTGAAGTTTGAAAATGTTGACTTGCATTTGATAAAGCGGTTATTATTGAGGGATGGCAGAGTTCCTACAATTCCAGAATTCTACTCCTATACAGCAGAATTGAATATGGATCCAGCAGAATTGAACAATGATGTCTACGTGCTTCTAAACATTCAATTCTATTACGATCTAAGTACAATTCCATTTCAATTCTGCTTAACTTGATCGGTCTACGTACTTCTAAACATTCAATTCTGTCTCATCATTGGAAAAGTAAGTAGACTAATCAAGTTAAGCAGAATTGAAATAGAATTGTACTTAGATCGTAATAGAATTGAACGTTTAGAAGCACGTAGACATCATTATTCAATTCTGCTGGATCCATATTCAACTCTGCTGTATAGGAGTAGAATTTTGGTGTTATTACGAACTCCCACTAACACTTATCTCGATAACGGGCGTTTGGTCGGTCTCTGAATCAATATGCTAAATTTCTATCATGAAGAAACTTCTAGCCTGTTAATAATTTTTATTGAAAAGTTAAAGTTGTTTCAGATTGCTATAGTAACGCAAGACCTTGAGACATTTCGTAGGGCAAGATCTTGACCAGGAAATCAAAAAAAGACGTCCACTAGGGATGCGTACTGTTTGATTCTCATATTCATGTGAATCGATGTTTGCCAAACGAATAGGGAGAAAAGGTGTAGAGGAAATTATGTCATACAAGACGAGAGATAGAGAGAGAGAAATGCATATCGAATACCTACTACCTGTTTGACAGACGTTGCTGTTGGTCTGCAACGGTTTTGCCACTCCATCGTGTTCGGTGGATGAGCTACCCCATGAAAAATAAAAATTCAGAACTATCAAACTCGACATAATCGAATGAGAGACGCAGGACTCAAATGTAAACGAATGGTACATTATATTTAAAATCGTTTTACATTGAATTAAAGTCGATGCTTTACTGTAACTTTTTCTTTTATTATGCGATTCATTGGTCATCTATTTTTCTAGACTCTTAGAAATAAAAGTGAGAAAGATGATGATGATGCAAATGATATAGTATATTATACCGAATTAATAGATGATAATCAAACAAAAAATGACGAGCTTGCAGTGATATATCATGATATTGGATTTTGTTATTATCAACTGACTTTCTACTTATTATCATTAAAATATTACAAAAAAAGTTTAGGTTTATGTTCAATTATAACAACTACGACAGAGGAACAACAAAAATTCAACTATAAATTACTCAGTACTACAATGTCTCTTTATCATACTCTAAATGATGGTAAAATGGCACTCGACTATGCATTTAAATGTTTAAGAATATTAGAAGCAATTGAACCGCGTGGAAATCAAGAACAAATTGAACTGGCTAGTTATTATAATTGAATCGGTGTAGCCTACTATTGGGATAATGAATATAAATTAACTTTAGATTATTGTCAAGAAGCAATTGATTTATATCAACAACTGACTCTTGAAACTGTGAATCAACAACAACAGTATGCCAATGTTTGGAGCACTTTAGCTGTTATTTATTATGATTTAGATCAAATTTCAGAATGTTTAGATTGTTGTCAAAAGTCAATGGAAATATTTAATAAAACATCGACAACTCCCCATGGTACTGCAGGTTTAAATTATGAACTCTATGTTAATCTACATCTTAAAAATGGACAACGTTGGGTAGCTGAAGAATTCTATAGAAAAGCACTGAACATAATTAAGACTCATGCACCATATGAACTACGCGTGATTATCAGAATTGAAAATAAATTAGTTAAAATGTTTTCAGATTCAGAGGACTAATATCATCAATAATCGAAAATTCGTTGGCATTACAGTATTTTACTATTTATGTTATTTTAGAAAATTACGATTTAGCTAGATTTTCTAAAAAAACGCGTGCTAACAGAAAAGGTTGAAATGTGCCTTTCCGAATGGTTTTCACAAATGTTGTTAGTTCTCATCCCTTAAAAGAATTGTTTACTATTCAAGAATAAAACAGCTACTTGAAAAAATTATCAGGACCAAAACATAATATAATAAATTGAAGTTTCCTGTCATTTAATGCCTCTAAGAGCGAGAGAGGTATTTCTTGACGCTGAAACAATTCAAACGAAAAGCGAGGAAGTCACTTTTCTGAACGGCTAAGATGGATCGTCCTTAGTATATTAAGTAATATTCTCCACTGGTAACAACTGCTTGTTTCTGTCTGATACGAGTGAATATTACCGATAACGTAACGTTTGTCGTATGCGAAGAAAACATTCACGCTTGGACTGTCAGAGAATATATACCCGTAGATATTATCGCTAGAATCAGTTCCTTATTAGAGCCAATCTAATATCCTGTGAATGAGGCAGAATGGCTGAGCCTCAATCCTCTTTGCGTCAAACAGAACCGAACTGATCATTACTACATCCTGAAAATCACGGATAAATACGTCTAACTGCAATTATTGCATGATCATAATAGCTAGAATAAATTTGAAAAAAGATTTGAATAGCTGAAAGACTTTCCGATCTCAGGTGGTGTATACAAAGGCTCCATCAAAACTCCTGAAATCAGGGTCTCTGGAAAACTCAAATCTCAGAAAACCAAGTCCCAGAGTTCAATCCAGAAATTCTTTGCAAATAAGTCTA